CAATGTGGTTCGATTGCAACATATATGCCTGCCATTTTGGCAACTGGCAATGCAATTCCACCGGCTTCCCATGGCCATCTTCATGCCGGCCAAGCTGACCATGACCGAACTAGCCAGGGCTCTCCCACAGCACATTCCTGCTGATTTGCGCTGCGCAGTGGAACAGGCTCTCTTGCGGTACGACCTTGGGACGCTCTGGACAGATGCCTTGCTTTTGGATGCCTGCAGCAGCACTTGCTTCTTTTGTGGCATTGACCTGCTGGCGATGGATCTTTTCTATCATTTGCATGAGGCACACCAGGGAATGCATCCGGTTGTAAAGACATATGTTGCACAACTGCTTCAACATGCCATGGATCACAGTGACAATGATTGTGCCTGTTTTGCATGTGGCCAGATTTTCAATACACCGGCTGTTGAGCCTGCGTCCCAAACCTGCCCATCCAGACAGCAGCTGGTTCAAGCTCACTTGCGAGCTCAGTGTCCGAGCATTTTGCAACTTGCGTTATTGCTCACACACGTTCATCATGGAACTCCAAGATTGGCAGATGGGCCAAGAGGGAGCCTTGAGCCAGATGCTGCAGACCTTCCAAAACCTGGCGCCGATGCTGGACACAGGGCTGAAGCTTTCTCCCAACCCAGCGGCACCCAAACGACAACGCAGACAGGACGGGGCCATAAAGCCAAAAGAAGAAAGCTCTCAGCAGGGGCACGGGCAAGACGCCCATCTCGACCAACAAAAACTGCTGATCCTGATGGCCAAGCTGCTGCTTCGGGTGGACCGAGACTTGCAGGTGATCCATCGAGAGACAACATTCATCTTCTACTTCAGCTGCAAGGATCCAAAGGGCGTTCTCCCACTGATGCTGCAAGAGGCGGAGACCTGGCATCAAGCATCCACGGAGAATGCATCGACGTGGAAGAGACCCCTGCGCCAGGTTTTGCTCCAGACCCTGCTCACAGCGCTGACGACTCGGGTCCACAAGCTTCTGGAGGCCCCGGAGGATTCCCCACTGATGGAGGCGGCCAAGAGCTCCAGGATTCTCTTGGAGAACAAGACCATACCATTCATGGAATGGAACCCGCAGGAACAGAAGCTCCAGGTCTCACAGAAGACGCCCGTCAGTCTGGCCAAAATGAGCGAGCACTGTCTGGAACTCCAGGACGGCTTCAAGGATCCAACCTTGATTCAGAAGTTCCACTCACTGCCGGCAAAACCGGACTCAGCAGTGACACCATGGAGACTTCAGATGTCATCCCGGGAGGCCAGGACCTACGAACTCATGCTCCATCTTGCGTACTCCCAGGTCTGGACGCTCTTGGCCACCAGTCTCAAGCAGCACAACCTGTACCAGAGTTCCCTGGCGGCCACCATCGAGCAGAATCTGGGACTCCGCCCCAAGGGACAGGGGAAAGGGAAGCAGAAAGGGAAGGGTCACAAGGCCAACCAGGCCAAACCAGCGCCTTGACTGGTGACCTTCACATGCAGCCTGGTGAGTTGACACACATTGTGTCCCATATGGTCCTTACCAACCCGAACAATTGGTGCTTCTGCAATGCTGCGGCGTACTCCTTGTTTTGGACGGTCCTGAATCTGAGCTGCTACACACCTGAGCTTTGGGGTAGACAATGCCATGAGATCATGCGGTTTTTGGGCACTGCCAAAACACAACTCTCTTGCCACCCAAGTTTTCTTCCAAGATCTCACGCGTTGCTGGGGACGAGATACGCTTGGACAGATGTCCTCTTCAATTTCTCAACAGGACTCTTCGGAGTTTGTTCAAGTTTGGCTGAATGAGCTACAGTCTTCTGCCTTCCAAATGCAGTGGGAAAAGCGGATGACAGTGACAGAATATACTCATACGCTTGATTCTAGCCATGAACCATATGCTCCGATTTGCTTGAAGTTTGATGAAACCCAGATTCTCTTGCCACATTGCTCCATGAATTCACTGATCGGCACCTGGCAGCAGGTGGATGGGATGCACACGGCTCTGCTCCATCCGACCACCTGTATCTGCGCTCACGTGGACAGATGCGTGATGGGCCCAGATATGACAGTTCACAAGTGCCTGAGCAGGATTCAGCTTGATGAAGAGTGTTTCTTTCCGGTCTTTGCAGATGGGACGATTCAGAGTGATTTTCATGCCTACACTGTCATTGCGGCAATGGCTCATCTGGGACATGATGGCTCCGGGCATTACAGGGCTGCTTTGCGTCTTCGTCCCATGGTCCAAAATCACACAAATCCCATTCAATGGCTGGTCACAGATGACTGGCGTGCACCGGAGGCGGTCTGGACCCTCCAAGATTGGTTGCTTGAGAATGTGACGTTGGTTTGGCTGGCGAGATCAGATTCCATTCGCCTGCCATTTTACCGACAGGACATGCAGCTGCCTCGAACCTCAGTGACTGAATTTTTGGACATGCTTACGGACCCAAGCACGTGAAACTTCCATGGCAGATCCAGCTCTTTTGCCTGCGGCTTCTTTCAATTTTTTCACCCATTTTCATTTTTCCATGTGGCCATGAATGATTCCGAAAGGGACCGTCAACACAGTTTGACGTTTGGCTGGCATTGACCTTGCAGTTGAAAAGGCGTGTGCGCAAAAAAAAAGAGCCACACACACACACAGACAGAGACACACACACACAGACAGAGACACACAGAGACACACAGACAGAGACACACAGACACACACACACAGACAGAGACACACAGACACACACAGACAGAGACACACAGACGCACACAGACGCACACAGACAGAGACACACAGACGCACACAGACAGAGACACACAGACAGACGCACACAGACAGAGACACACAGACGCACACAGACAGAGACAGACAGAGAGAGACAGACAGAGAGAGACAGAGAGAGACAGAGAGAGACAGAGAGACACAGAGACACAGAGACACAGAGACACAGAGAGACAGAGACACAGAGACACAGAGACACAGAGACACAGAGACACAGAGACACAGAGACACAGAGACACAGAGACCCAGAGACGCAGAGACCCAGAGACGCAGAGACGCAGAGACGCAGAGACGCAGAGACACAGAGACACAGAGACACAGAGACACAGAGACACAGAGACACAGAGACACAGAGACACAGAGACACAGAGACACAGAGACACAGAGACACAGAGACACAGAGACACAGAGACACAGAGACACAGACACACAGACACACAGACACACAGACACACAGACACACAGACACACAGACACACGCCACCGGTGCCAGCGGTGCCAGCGGTGCCAGCGGTGCCAGCGGTGCCACCCCACCACCACCACCACCACCACCACCACCACCAGGTTGAGGGGTCGTTTTTACACGCCAAAAACGGGTTCGTCTGTACACGCGAGAAGGATCCTCTTCATCCAATTCGTCTATATAAATTCATAATGTTCTACAACATCACCTTTTATTTTCTCCATGTCTATCCTCTACAACATCACCTTCTTTTTATTTTCCACATCAACAGCATCATCCACATGTATTCGCAACAACCATGTTATTTAAATTTTAAATTATTCACAACCTGCAGGGTACTACTGGCATCATCCATCATTTACAAGCAGCAAACCAAGAAGTCGGGGGGCGTACGGTTCCAAGATAAAAACCTATAGGGTTGCAAATGTTCAAAGGACAAGTGCCTATAGAAAACGGTTGTGGGCCTTGAACAGGGCATACTAACATCTCACCACCCACCCCACCCCACCCCACCCCACCGGGTAATGATCATGAAAGAGTAGTGCCTGTGTCTGCTGGAGAGCAAGAAAGATGAACAGGTTGGGTGTGCTTGTGTGTGAACAGGAACATGAACGTTATTACCCCACCCCGCCCCACCCCACCCCAGCGGTAACTGATCAGCCAAGAGGTTTGGTTTGCCTGTGTGTGCACAGGAACATGAACGTTATTAGCGCACCCCACCCCACCCCACCCCACCGGTAACTGATCATGAAAGAGTAGTAGTGCCGGTGTCTGCTGGAGAGCAAGAAAGATGATCAGGTTGGGTGTGCCTGTGTGTGAACAGGAACATGAACGTTATTACCCCACCCCACCCCAGCGGTAACTGATCAGCCAAGAGGTTTGGTGTGCCTGTGTGTGCACAGGAACATGAACGTTATCACCCCGCCTCACCTTACCCCATCCCCAGAAAGGTGCCTGTGTCTGCTGGAGAGAAGAGAGGTGATAAGGTTTGCTGTGTCTGTGTGTGCACAGGAACATGAACGTTATTAGCCCACCCCACCCCACCCCATCCCCAGACAGCTCTATGTGTACAGATGAACCCGATATGTGTGTACAGATGAACCCGAAATGTGTGTACAGATGACCCTGATTTGTGTGCGCAGATGACCCTCCATCCTTTGGGGTCATATTCTGAAGTGACACTTACTGGGAAGCACACTGACAACATTGTTGTAGTGTCGACGCTATATTGCGGTATATTGCGGCATATGCCCGTTTTGTTCATACTTGTCAATTTCTCCGCCGCCATATGCCTCCATAGTGGCCATGCCTTCTTCATCAAAAGGCGCTGCGCTGCGGTGGCCAAATGTCATGGAATACTTCGAATAGCACAAGAAGAGCCAGCTTGGATCCAGATTTGCCTGGACGGTCCCGGATCCAGTGAGCGTAGGAAACGCGAAGAAGGCTCTGAATTTGGAGAGAAACAAATCAACAACCACAATCCAACAACCACGGCAAAAGCTTGGGATCATTCTGAAACCACAAGGTGCTCTCTGCACCTGAGTTGACTTTGCAGTCCATTTGTGGCCCAACTCCAAGGAAAGATACGTAGGCAGACGTAGGCAACGATACAGGGCAGGAAACAATGATGTTAGCTGAGTATAGTTGAGTCATTGAGCAGAACAAAACTGTTTGTAAGTCACTATATGGTCAGAGTTAGAAAACAAAAAAATAAAACAAACTCACAGACATGTTGTCTCATTCTGACAAGCGGTCTGAAGCTTGCGCTTGCAATGGCGCGCATTACTGTCCTTGGTCTGCAAAAAGTAAATCAAATAGACATCTCAGAGCAATGCCACCGATTGATGACAGGTATTCAAAACGATTCCAATCAAATGATCCGATCAGAGGATTGCGAAGGCAATTGCTTGCCAGCCCAGGTGCTGCCTGAAAGCGATGCTATCGGCGTGGTGGATGTCGCTTGTTTGCGCCTATAGTTTGTACACTACCTTGGGCCAAGTTGGCCGCTCCGGTGTCCTTTTCCAGGTGCGGGATTTGCTGGAAGGTCGAGGGCCATTGCACGCGCCTCATTGGCCCCAACCTGGGGGCCAACGGGGTTGCACTTGCTGCATGATTTGCGTTGGGGGAGTGCGGTTTTGAACACCGGTGCCTGATGCATTTCCAGTGGCCCGAAAACATGGGACCATCATGGCTTTTCTTGCTGCAATGTTCTATGCCAACCAAGGTATGTCTTGACCAGCCGATAAGAATGTACCAGTTTCACAAAGGTCTGATACACCTACCAAACTGGCAGACACAGCGCGCAGATCTCTGACTGTATGCTAGCACGCCCACACACAAAAACAAAAGAGCGCGGCAAGGTCATGCTCACCCCTGTGTGATGCTTAGGCACCCGTTGGCAGCAAAACTATGCAATTGCATGATTAAATGATGTTAACTGGTATTAACTTGCAATCAACATGATGAAAAAGGACATGGGAGGTTCGTTTGCGCAGTTTTTTCTGTGTCTCACGTTGTGGCTTGCCTCGGCATGGCGTTGCTGCCTGGCCAGCAGCTCCATGGCAAAACAGGACGAAGATGCTTGGCTGCATCAGGCTGCAGCTTGGATCTCCATACCAGGTCAGTGAGTTCCAACATGTTCCAACAGTTTCCAACATATGGAAGGGTCATGTAGGGTCAAGATTCGGGACATCAACCCCACCTCATGGTGTATTTGTTTAAGTCTTTATTTCTACTTGTATTGACCGCTCTTCCCATACTGAATTCAGAAAATCCAAGGGAGAGACTCAAGATGCCACCGTGTTTGGAACGCCTGCCAACTTCAGGAAGATCTCAATCTACCTGTCCCTGGTCAAACTTCGTTTTGGTCAGTCCACGACTCTTTTCGTGCAGGTTCCTTGTTTTTGTATTCTTCCTGGGGGGCGGCCATTTTCATCCAAGCTTTGTGATATCTTTGTGATCATTGCACTTGGGAACGCGGTTGAACCCCCGCCAGGTCTGAGAGATGAACCGCGGAATCCAAGGACTGTGTGTTTACCATTGCTAGAGGTAGTATAGCTGTTGCGTCGTTATGAGAGAGAATCTGTCATGGACCAATGGAATTAGACGATAACTACTCAGAGTGCCAAGGTCCGTGCTGAACTTACCTGGTGATTCAACTGACTATACAGGTAACGATACCCCATGAGATATCATGAGATCCAATTTGTCTAAGCCTTCCATGTCATGCCGACGCCATACTTGGTCAGGAGCACATCCAAGCGAGGGGAGAGGCAGCAAGCTTCCACGCCGCGGCGAGCGCAAGCAGCGCAGGAGGCCGTGCAGCTTCAGGTCAGGCAGTTGGAGTTGAAACAGCTGGAGTCGGGGCCGCAGTGAACGTTGGGGCAAGTGGCTACTGTGGCAAACCCGAGTTTAAACCATACTGGTTTGCACCGGCAATGGGTGGTTAAAGCTCCAAAATTGGAGGTTCATTATTGGGTTTGTCACCTTACATCATTTGCTTTTTAGGTTTGTTGCGAAGAGTGGGATGGACAGATCAAGTGGACAGTGATTACTGAGGCTCCAAGTGAAATTGAAACGCCGTTTGGAAGAGCAGGCCATTCACTCCGCTTTGTGGTTGACTGGTGGGGACTAGTGATGTGGACCCTTGACATCCCTTGACCATTGCCATTGTGCATGCAACGCGGAGGCAAAGGAAGCCAAAGAAGCCCTGTCGGCCAAGCAACAGCAGGTGGAGCGCTTGAAGCAACACGCTTTCCTGGAGGTGCACTGCGCGGCGGTTTGGGATAGCCACTTGAGATGACTTGACATCGCCTGACTCATCGCTCGACAGTGGCACCTTGTGTATTTGAAGTCTTTGGTATTCTTTGTTGCCATAGGCAGGCGCCCTTGCTACTGCGTGTCATGCAGAGCCAGAGTCATACGTGTAAACGTGTGCAGGCTCGGGAAAGAGAGCGTGACCTTTCCTTGCGGCGAACAGGTGCAGTGGGAAACAGACGGCGAGGTGTCCTCAAATGAAGCGAAATATAAAGATCCTACAAAGATGAACCGAATATGGAAACAGGTACAACCAGGTACAGGAAGTCGCAAGAATTTGGACCAGCCTCATCCGGCCACCATTAAGTTGCAGTAACTATAGACTATAGACTATAGGTATTGCATAGGGTTATACCATAATGTGGCCTGCTTGCATTTTTCAAACGGTATATTCTGTATCTATAGCATGTACAATATCATGCACAACTTGACACATCAAGTGGCACTTATACTTGGTCCAGTCCTCCGTTATCCTATTGTTGATGCTACTGCTAGCTAGCTACTCAAACATTGCTTGCTATGTAGACTACCCAGGTACCAGTCAGGTACCGTCTCACATATTTCTTGAATTTTCTTGAGACATAATTGAGACCTATACGCTGGCTATATACCAGTTGCGTGCTATTTGAATTTGAATGCTTCTTGATTTCCCAAACAGTGTGTCCACACTGAGGGGTTCTTACGGTAATCGTAAAGGCCGGTGCCTGATCAGGGTGCTCCAGCTCGGCCGCGGCATTTTTCTTGTAATTTCCGTACAAAGTGGCTTTTGTATGCTTTTGTGAAATGTTGACTTGCATTTCGACTGCGCAGGCTCGCACAAAGTGTGGGCCGCGGTTCTGGGCCGCGGCACTTTTCCTGTGAATTTCCGTACAATATGGCTTTTGTGACATGTTGACGTGCATTTCGACTGCACAGTCTCGCACAAAGCGTGGTCCTAGGTCTTGGGATCAGTCCTCCTCCTCAACATCATCATCCCCCACATCATCATCTTCCTCCCCCTTCACAGCATCACCCTCAACTTCATCCTCCTCCACCTCGTCTTCCGCACCATCATCATCATCATCATCATCCTCCTCCTCCTCCTCCTCCTCAGCATCATCGTCCTCAACATCATGATCTTCCTCCTTCTCAACATCATCCTCCTGCACCTTGTCCTCCTCCACTTCATCTTCCGCATTCGCATCCTCATCCCCTCATCCTCATCCTCATCCTCATCCTCCTCAACATCATCACCATCACCATCACCATCACCATCACCATCACCATCACCATCATCATCATCATCATCAACATTATCCATCATCCTCCCATTTCCCCACACACTGTTTGGGGTCTCTTGCCGGGATGATGTTTTTTTTCTGCTTAGCGAGTGGCATATTCAACGTACACATCCTGCCAACCGGCCAGCCCCAGCTGCGGTGTTGACAGGGTCCATGCCCACAAACATGCACTCGCATACATACACGAATGAACAGACAACCGCACAGACAGAGACAAGTGCACAGACACAGGCAGGCAGAGAGCCCGTCAGTCTGCCAGTTGTTCATTCCTTCACTCAACCATTCACTCATCTCCGTTCAGACTCTTTCAGCTAACAGTGACCACAGCCATAAATCCTCCCTATGGTTGCCATATGTTGCTATAACCCGTTCCTATTTTCTCAACTTCCGCCCTGCCTTGCACCGGGAGGAGCCTCCCGCAGTGGCAGTGCCTCGCCCCGAAGCCGTGGCGGTAGCCCTGGAAGCCGCAGTTTCGAAGCGTTTGCAGCAGAGGATGCGGAATCTTTGTAGCCACCAGTAGCCACCATTAGCCACCCAGTGCCGACTTTGTCCTGGCACATGGTTTCCGGAAATCGTTGCATTTTTCAACATCATTTTTCGTCTTCTTATGTTAAAAAAACTAATACCTTGCTCCTCGTGTGGCAATTTCACAGCTGTTTTCAGGAGCTCTCAGTGGCTGACTCAGAGGAACGCGAGGCAAGACAAACCGATCGAGCAAGGAAGGTTGAGAAAGAGAAACTCAGAGGCACTTTATCAACTTGGTGATCTAACCATTTCGAATGGGGCATAGTGGGGCATATAGCCATTGATGATCTGGTTGGTACTTTCGAATGACCCCCAACTGACAGCCGCATGTGCAAAGGGTGTTGGCGTAGGCATGCCCAAGCGGGCTTCCTCCTGCGCTCACTAAGGCATTCATTTGGAAAGTGGAAAACTGACGGATATTTTTCAGGGGTTGGCCCAACAACCAGCCAGTCAAAAACCTCTGCATGTTTGACACCCAACGATTTGCTGGGAACCCTCTGTGAAGCTGGTCATAGCTGGTCACCAAGGCGGGAAAAGATTGCCTGGCGCGCCATGCAGGAGGAACAGGCTGAGAAGAGAAAAGCCGTTGCCCGCGAAGGGCCATGGTCTTCTGCCGGGTTGGGCCCGTTGGGCCCGTTGGGCCCGTCAGGCCCGTCGGGCCCGTCAGGCCCGTCGGACCCGTTGGGGCCCGACGGGCCCATTGGGCCCGACGACAATTTGGGGCAGCATGAGGTTCTTGGAAGGGGATCTTGTAGGGATCCTGTCGAGATCCTCGAAGATTCCTGATTTTGTAGAAGTCCTTGCGAGGAGATCTTGTGAATATCCTAGTGAAATCCTTTGTTGTAGAGGTGTTTGTGAGGAGATCTTGCGCACATCCTGCTGGAATCCTCTAAAAGATATTTGCGCGAAGATCTAGAAGGTGCTTGTATGAAAGTTTGCAAGGGAAGCCTTCAAGAGGTTCTTGTACAAAGATCTTGTCAGATCCCCTCTATCAGGTCCTTCTTTGACGACTGTGTGAAATTCTCATTGAGGTCCTGGCTTGAGGTCCTGGAGTTTTTTTCACAGATGTTTTCCTCAACGCTGTTAGGGCCTTTTTGCCGGGGATGATTGTCTCTATTTTATGTTTGAAAAGGTAGAGAGCCGTGCAGCGTTTGACAAGTCGGGTGGGCGGCCGCCGTTGTATTTGGGTCGGACATGTCAAGCAGATAGACGCAGATATGCATATTTGTTTTTTTTGGTTTTTGAAGGGGTGCCAATCAGATATGTTAGCAACCACATTCTTTATCCCTGCGTGATAGAAGGAAAAATCATCATGTAAGTTCCAAAGGCACCATCACCTCTCATCATGGTCACAAAAGGATGAAGCGAAGCACGGGATTTTTTTTTGTGGCCGCTGTCTAGGAAAGAATCGCAGAATCTGCAAACGGCACCGCTTGACAAATCATACCCCGAGTGGATCCGAAGGATTTTGTTTCACCGGTTGGTAGTCAACAGCTGGTGCCGAACTAATCAACATCTGGTGGAATAATATCAGTAACCAAATGAAGAACAGAAAGCATGTGCATTAGCCATGGATGACTGAAGCAGGAAAGCGACGAAAATTGGAAACATGATCCCAATGGCGTGCTGGAATCATACATTTTTTCATCTACAACCAGATGTAATTAGGTATAAGATATACATAAAGAACAATCACTCAATAAATAAATATTTATGTGTGTATACGCATTAGAAAGATACAAGATGCATACATTTATGTATATACACATATGTTGAAATACGGCTAATGCCTGGGTTTTGCCTGGCAGGGCAACGACGATGGGCAACGAACCGTCGTCATCATCATCATCATCCCTTGTTGATCTTTCCAGTCGAAAGCAAAAGCAAACGAGAGTGGGATTTTTTATATTCCTAATACCTGTTGTGATCTTCCCACTTGAATCTAAAAGTTCAAGCAGGGTGGGCAATTATGTTTCTAAGGGAGCTTTTATTCTAAATACCTATCGGTGATCTTCCCAATTGAATGTAAAATTCACAGGCGGGGAACTTATATGCCAAATAATTACCCTTGTTGATTTGCCTGCTTGAATGTAAAGTTGAACAGAGATGTGATTCTAAATTCCTAATGCCTTTGTTGATTTTCCCCATTGAATATTAAGTTAGCCGGGGGTGGGAATCTATATTCCCAGTACCGTTGTTGATCTTCCCAATTGAATGTAAAGTGTAACGCCAGCACCAGAAGGGATGATGGGTTAATTCAGCGCCACGGTCTCTCGAGCCCGTCGAGCCCGTTGGGCCCGTTGGGCCCGTCGGGCCCGTTGAGCACGTGAAGCAGGCCCGTTGGGGCCCGTTGGAGCCCGTTGGGCCCGTTGGGCCCGTTGGGCCCGTCGGGCCCGTTGAGCCCGAACCTAGGAAAGGACTATTCTCCCGCGAAGAGGCTAGAGCATCGATTCCGGGCTTTATTGGGTTTTGGTGTCTCTAATGCATTGAAGACATGTCAAACTCTGGGTAGTTTGAGATCTAATTAACCTTGAATTATCATGGATTAGCATTTGTTGTAATGCTTGGAGCACTCCAGGCGGCCAAAAAAGAACAAGCAGCGCGAAAGCTTCAAACCTTCAGAAGTGCAAGTGGGTGGCCTGTCGGATGAATTGAATAGTATCGAAAGATGCATATTCGCATCGGGAAGAAACTTGTTGTGGTATGATGCAGGTGCCTTAAGCTACTTGCATGTGACAGGGCTTACTGGGCTTGCCTCATGAGCATGTCATTTGAGTGATAACCCAACACATTCCAAAGCCATCTCTCCAGGGCAGTAGCCGCAGGATAATGGATTGACATGGAAATAAATTGTGTTCACAGATATGGCATATGAGGCATCAGCGGAACCAAGCTCGGGCTTTCGGAGAAGCCCGCAAAACGGAGCTTCAAAAAGCTGAAAGAGGCGAGCTTTCGTTTGTGCCGTAAGGTTTTGCAATCATATCACTTCAGTCATGGCCGGTGGCCTACCCAGGAAGTGCATCCACACCCCTGCGCGAGGACCCAGCCAGGCGCCGCAGAAAGTGAAGCCCAAAGTCGCGGTGGTTGAACGAGATGCGTGGCTGATCACTGTTGAAACTGGTGGGTGTACAGCCAAATTTTTTGGGGCCATGCAGGATTATGCAGGCTTTTCAACCAAGAATATCCAAGGGTTACTCCCATAATATCTCTTTATCAGGCTATAGATTGTAATAATATTGTAATATTTGATAATATTTGTAATTCTGCATTCTCTTCTTTGTTTTGAGTCCAGGCTGTGCTGGAAGCACAGATGTGCAAAGACCCATGTGCTCTCAACATTTGCGCACCACATTTATTTATATATGGGATGAATCTAGCCATATCCTGGTTAAACCATGTTATATACAGTATATAATATATATATATATATCTATCTATTTTTGATGGTTGAATGCCGGGCCCAAGTGCCAACTTTCGATCTCCAAGGAGCCAGCACGGCGGCCTTTTCGGGCAGCTGCATCAGCCGTGGAGCCGGTGGAGACACCACGGTCACACGGGTGGGGTTCGCGAAGTGACTCACCGGGAGCTACCAGCAGAACTGCCAGCTGCTTGTCTCAATTGGTTTTGCAGTTGTGCACCATTCAGTTTTTCGGGGAGGACCATCCCTAATCATCCGATCATCCCTGAGCACGTCCAGTGATGTCCAGTGGATAGAAGCACCTGAGGCAGATCAAGGGCCAACAGTCCAGAGGCAAGACCACAAAGTAGCTCAGCTGAATTTGTTGATGGCTTCAGAGGTTGCGACCACGGTCTCACTTGTGAGACTTTACCCAAGGTGGGGCATGAGGCTCCCAGTAATTTTTTTTCACCAGTTTTAACCATTCAGTTCTTCGCCACGAGGCCGAAAAAGAGCAGGACACCAACAGGCCACTGAAATCTCTCAGGCACGAGTGGTGCAGAAATCTTTTCAGCGAGGCGGGATACATCGCGATACGTCCTCGTCCTTGGTGATGATGTGTAGCCGGAGTGATATGATTCTCTTCCGTTTCTTCTTGTTGTGGCTGTGGTTTTATGTTCAGTAACTTGCCAAGCGCTTCACGCTTTCATCGCAGGTCAGACGAAAGCATCATCACCACCACGTTCCCCTTCCAGCCGGTCACAGAGCCCCAGACTCCCGAGCCAAGTCTCGCGGAGCTTTGGCACCGGCTCACCTGCTGCCTCACCACGGACAACCTCCAGAACGCCTAGCCCCAGGAAGGAAGGCGGGCAAAATCAGATGCCGTGACATTTTCTTGTAATTCCACATAATCCCACATGGGGATGGGTCAAAACCCTGGCACCTAGTGAACATCAAAATAGCTGGTAAATGGATGTTCATCCCCTTAAAAATGGTATTAATAGGTCGAATAGGTATTGATCCATACCCACATAGACATAATCCCACATAACCTCACTGCTGTTCCTGTTGGTATTTCTTGATCAGAGCCGTAGGCCCAGTGGATCAACGACCTCTGTGGCTCCCGGTGGGCCGTTCTAGGAGCCAGCAGGAGCTGGCAGGCTTGGTGACACTTGAAACGCTTGAAAGATCTTTACAAGAAGAGAAATGACAAGAATCGGAAAAACAAAAATGACAAGGATCATGATTCATGATTGTAATACATAATTTACTATATCAAAAAGATTGTGATAACATTAGCAATGCCAGTATCAATATCACTATCCAAAAATAACAACAATAACATATAGCACAAGACATCTCTATCATGGTAATGAAACCATTTTCCATCATAGCAGCAGTACAAATATATAACATGCATAATAAGAGCTAGTGACAGCGATAACACTGGCTAACTAGCTAGCTGGCCAGCTGAGTAGTCAAATGCAGAAACCGAGAACAAGTAAAAAATAGTACACACGAATATTGAATAGACAGAATACATAACACGTTCACATGACAATATCATGTGTTGTTTATTTACGCTAGAGAACCACCATCATGAGTATCATCATCACCATCTCCATCTCCATCTCCATCACCATCACTTTCATCGCCAAGAAATGCACGTCCAGACCACTGATTTAGACGGCAAGTGACCCCACGCCTTGTGAATCTAATGCATGGACACTGTTCTTCACATGGATACTTCGCGCAAGTGAGATGAAACATCAAACTGACAAGCAGGGGAGAGGATCATTTTGTAATTGTTTGAGCACTTTTTGGACAGTTTTTTGAAGGTGAAAAGATGTGAAAAGCTTGTTGGTGTGAAAGACAAAGGTAGGTAGAGACTAGCTTGGTGTGTAGCAGTTGCATGTTTCTTTTGCACTTGCGCATACTCACCGCAGACTGGACCAGTCAAGCTTAGCGCTAAAAGATTGCCCCGCTGCTTTTGCTTTTTCGTGTGAGCCCATTAGCTGCCTTTGCACTCCGCATTGGTAGCGGAGCTGGGTGATGCTTTCGAAGCCCCAGCGACCAATGGCATCGGCGGAGCCGAAGCGGTCAGCGACCGCGCGAAGGGCAGCGCCCAAGAGTGAGGCCGAGCCTCGAGGGAAGGAGAAGCTCTCCACCAGCCCTGCTGCGAAGATGGGTGCCGATGCACTACCGCATGGCCGAGGACCTGGTTCTATATGCTCGGAGCCTGTAGGCGCCGCGAAGAACACCAAGGCCGCTGAGAGAGGCTATCCGGTTGGGATGACAATGCCTGGATTCCAGTTGCACTATGGCCCCAATGGACAGCCTTGGTACACCGACGGGAAGCAATGGTGGCCGGTGTGCTACAATCCCATGATGGCTTCCCAACAGTGGTCAACGCCGTTCTCTTCCTGGACTATGCCGAGCCAGCAAACGCCCAGTCAACAAACGGCGGTCAATCCGAAGGAGTTAGACTTGAAAGGAGTCAAGCAGAATGCAACGAGAACTCGAGTGAAGACAGAAACCAAGGAGGAGAAAACTACGAAAGGAGACAAGAAGGACAAATCCTCCAAAGAGAAGGATAAGGGTGACCGCGGAGAGAAGAAGAAGAAGCCGGACAAAGGCCCACCAGAAGATGTCCCCGATTGGGGAGGTGACGATGAGGGTGATGAGCCAGATCCGGAGGATGACACGGAGTACACTTATGAAGAAGAGAGCGAGGAAGAGGAGGAGCATGAACCAGACCAATCGGTCGATGTGACGCCGCGGTCAGCGACCGGAGTGACGCCTCGCTCAGGCACAGGAGGCGAGCCCCGAGAAGGTCCGCGACCTGGGCGGCGACCTGCGGAGCGTGACACGCATCACACGGGCAGCGGCCCACGGAGGCGGAGACCTCCAGGTGGCGGCGGCCCACCTTCGATGCCATCCAGAGGATCGCAAGCCTCTTCCAGCCACAGGACATCGTCCGTCAGAACAGAGTCGGTACGACAGCTGCTCAAGGAGCGTACCGACCAGCCTGAAGGACGAGCTCGTGCTAACCTTGGACAAGTCCGGCTGGAGACCTTCTCAGGTGACAGGTCTCAATACAGGAACTGGATGAAGACGATCCAAGCTCAGAAGCAGCTCTACCAGATCCAAGACAAGGAGCTGGCGGTCTTGCTGTTCCTGTCCTGCACCGGGGAGGCAAGAGAGGTTCTCAACCAACTGGAGATAGCGGACATGCAAGAGGAGGGCGGCCTTCAACGCATCCTACGTCTCTTAGAGGATGCGTATGGGAGCAAAGCAGATGAGAGATTCGAGGAAAGACAAAATGCTTTCCTGAGTTTCCGCCGCTCTCCCGGACAAAGCATCGCTGCTTACTTAGCGACCCTGAAGAGACTCCGAAATGAGTACTTGCGTGAAGACCCGGGGTCAGTAATCAGCGACCGTGCATTTGCCCAAAGAATGCTGACCCGTGCTTCCTTGACACGGCGCGAACGGTACGACTGCTTTTTTGCAGCCGGCGGTTCTTACCGTTCAGGTCCCTTGGAGAAAGTCCTCAGGTTCCGGTGCGCGAACGTGCACCTTGAGGAAAGACCAAGCGGCGGCCGCCGCCAAGAGGAACGTGGCTATCAACAGGTTGCTCGGCCGCCGCCGAAGAGGAGAACCTACAAAAGGTCCGATCGTCGAGCCCCGTATCGTGCCACTCGCCATGCTCATGTGGCCGATGAAGAAGACCTTGAAGGGGACTATGAAGAGCACTATGGAGACAACACGGATGACGAGGACCTGGAGCAAGAAGCACTGATGGCAGAGGAGGAGATGCCCGAAGAAGAGGAGTGGAGCCATGACGAAGAGGCCGAGTATGAGGAAAGCGTCGAGGCCGTGGACCAGGCTGCCTTGCAAGAGGCATTCGCTGCTGGTTGGAGGGCCAAGAACCAGACGGCCCAAGCCCGGCAGAGCCGTGGCTACCGTGACAGTGGCAAATCCCCAAAAGGGAAAGGAAAAGTGAAGCGACAAGACAGTCGCCGGCCTGACGATCGGAAACGCAACAGCACGTGCGCCTCATGTGGCCAAAAGGGACATTGGAGAGGCGATGCAATCTGCCCCAATGTGAAGTCAGGCAAGGACGCTCCACATCGGAAGGAAAGTGCAACCCATTATACAACAGCATCGGGTGCTGGGAAGGGCAGCGCCTTCCAACCCAAGCGGGACCGCGCCCCCTCTCCGGCCAGAGAACCGGAGCGAGCACCGCTGCCGCGGAGGAAGAGCTCAGAGAGCCAAGCAAGAGACCAAGCTGGCGATGTAACGGGCGCTACGCCCAAACATCCCCCGATGGCACCTCCACCAAATCCTCCTCGACGAGGAGCGGTAGACAAGTCACCGATGGAGACCTATGTGGAGCCACCATCAACCCCAAGGGGGCATGAAAGACCACCAGAGCCAGCAGTGCCACCTCGAGTCAAAGAAGAAGTCGGTCGATCTCCTAGCAGAAAGGAACCTGAGAGAGAACCCAAGGCGTCTCCGGAGGAGAAGGCCAAGAAGAGGAGAAGACGCTCACATCGATCAGACAGACCGAGAAGGTCCTCAGGTGAGCACAGGTCTGACAGAGATCGCACCCGTGAGCGAAAGTCACGGGAGGAAGGTGCAGAGACACCTGCTGACACGCCTCGTGAAGGGACAGAAGAGGCCTTTGTGGCACAGCCTTCAACTGGCACTGCAGCACGCCAGTGCAACTGGACATACATGGTTGGTGGCTGGGACGTGATCAAGGACTATGATTCTGACAGTTCCGACACGATCTCATCTCACCAGTTGGCAACCGAAAGTGAAGAGGACGATTTGGTCCGCAAGTACCAGTTGCAAAATTCCCCAGCCCCCAAGTCAGCCGCTAGGGAGAAGCTTAAGGTCAAGCTGATGACGGTCTTGAGATCTTTGGCTGAAGAGGAGCAAGACGATGAGGTCAAGAGACGACTTCAACGGAAACAAGATCGCCTTCGAGACAAGATCTCAGCACGGGCCGTGCGATCTCAAGCCTCGGGCTCGGAAGCTCCGGCCAAAACAAGGCCCAAACATGAAACCCGAGATCCCAAGTTGGACGAGGAAATGTGTTTGTCCACCCAGGATCTGCTGCAGATCTTACCAAATATGTCCAAGGAGGAGAAGAAATTGCTCTATAAGCAACTCAAGAAGGAACGAGAAGATGAAGCCCTCAAGCTCTTTGGAACGGGGCAGCCGCCCACCTCAGCAGCAAAGCTCAAGAGGCCAGATCGCCGCCGAGACGGGTACTCGGCTGCGTCCGTACCCATGGCCTCTGCGGGCCGCAGCCTGAGGAAGGATGAGGTTGAGGAGCCACCGGATCAAGAGGAGAAGGTACCGGTGGGAGTCAAGAAGAAGCGCATGGAGAAGTTTCGCAGACAGCTCTACGAGGCGGCCAAGAACCGAAAAGGGAAGATCGTACCGTCAGAAGCCGCAGATCTTCCCAACGTTGCCCAGGAGAACTGCGAGCATCCATATGAGCGTTTGCTCTGGGGTGCAAATATCCATGCCCATTGGGCAAGCTGCAAGGATTGCAAGCTGAGAAAAGTCTTGTACTACTCAGCTATGCATGGTGCAATGACGTCCAACCAGTGCATCCATGCCCATGACCATGAACATGAGGCCTACCAGGCCAATGTGCTGTCCCCTGGACATGTCATTCTTGACACTGGGTGCAGAACAGCAGTGGCTGGACGCAAGTGGCACATGACCCTGCAGTCTTTGATGCGCCAGAAAGGCCTTCCGTTCTACAAGACCAACCACGAGGAGGTCTATCGCTTTGGAGCAGGTGCACCGGTGCTCAGCACTGAGGCGTTCCTCTATGCAGTGCAGATCTATGATCACAAGTCTTGGGTGCGCATCGCAGTGGTTGACAACACACCGGATGATGGCCGTGTGGCAGAGTGTCCTGGACTTGTGGGACCTGCTGAACTTGCCCGTTGGAAGGTGCAGATTGACTTCGCCAAGTTGCAGGTTGCAATTCATGGCAAATGGCAACCCACAGTTTTGTCGCCTTCAAGGCATCCAATCCTCAATCTGCTCAACGTCGGCAAGAAGCCTGATCCAACAGCATGGGAGACCGGGGAGCTCAAGGAGCTGAGGCTGCGCCTCACAAACGACCCGCATTCCTTTGCCCTCTTGCAGGAGGCATTGGATGATCTGAGCTCTGATGACGGCAGCGCCGCAGAGCCAGACCCAACTACGAAAGAAGCCGTCCATTGGACGGGACCCCAATTCGAGACGATGGCCCGCTGGCAGAAGAAATCCGAGTCAGAGACCATCAACCTGCTGGATGTGCTGGGTGTGGACTGCTTTCGAGCCACAACCAAGGAACCGGATGACAGTTCCACGGGTTCCATCAGCGAACGCGAAAGTGAGACTTCTCACGAAGGTGGACTTCCGATGGGTTTCAACAGTTCTGATGAAGAATCCACGGAATCGGAAGATGGCATGGTTGATGAAGTGATGATAGCTGGCAGCGCCGGCGACACTGAGTACCTTGGAAAAGGGCAGAAGCGAAGACTTTTGGCCGCCGCCAAGAACATCAGTGAAGCTGTGGAGGTGGAGCGCACCAGTTTCAAGAAGGAGAAGGAGGTTCCAAGAGTGCGCCGGCTGCGTACTGGCTTCAAGATCTTGGAGATCTTTACGTGGTCCTGCATGCTGTCAAGGTTTGCCTACGGCCTGGGCTGGGAGTATCTTGAACCAGTGACCCTTCCAGGCTGGGATCTGACAGACCCCAAGGTGCAATGGGAGGCCCACCAGTACATTGATCGAGTCGACCCTGACTTCATCATGCTGGCATGGCCGTGTGGACCGTGGTCGCCTCTGCAGCGACTTAATCAAAAGACTTGGACCCAGCGAGAGGCCCTCAAACACAAACAGAACACCTCGAAGAAGTTGCTGAAGTTTTCTGCACAAGTCTCTTTGAAGAGACAATGGAATGGCCGCGCCATCCTGGGTGAGAATCCCCTGCTGAGCCTGGCATGGAAGCAAGATGATATCATTGATGGCTTTGGTGATCTGCCTGAAGGGGTATGCGACCAGTGTCAGTATGGCCTCCGCCATCCCGAATGCGGCATGCCTCTGAAGAAACCAACCCGCTTTGTGGGCCAAGAGGAGATCGTGGCTGAGCTCAGGAAAAGATGCCCTGGGGATCACCAACATTTCTCCATTGAAGGTTCAGTCCGGACGGAGGAGTACGGGACTATATCTCTGTCATCCTGGGCTGGAGGATATCCGATCCCCTTGTGCAAAGCCATCATGAGGGGAGCCTTGAGCTTCCTGCATCGGCCGGCAGCTGCCGGGAAAGAGACCTACGTCCTGGAGGAGTACGTCACCGAAGAATCTTTTCAGGATGGGCAAGAAGGAATTGAAGAAGAAGAGCAACGAATGGCACAGGAGAAAAGGCGAGAGGAAGAGGTGATCGAGGAAGATGATCGACGCCCTGTGCCAAAAGAGATTCAAAAGGCAGTTGAATTTGCCCATCGGCAACTTGGACATCCCAGCAGAGATACTTTGGTCCGGATGCTGCGCATCTCAGGAGCGACAGAGGATGCCATCCGTCACGCTAGACGATGGCAGTGCGATGTGTGCCGAATGCAGAAGGCACCAGCACATCCTCTTGCTACAACGCCAAGCTTGAGACCCTATGGCTTCAATCGGAAGCTTCACTTGGACATCAAGTTTGTGTTCGACTCACGGGATCGCAAATATCCTTGTTTGAGCATTGTGGATCTTGGTACTGCGTACCATGGCGCCTGTCTTTGCAAGACAAGGAGGTCCGACTATGTGGCGCGCAAGTTCATGATCCATTGGATCCAGATCTTTGGAGCTCCAGAGCATGTTAGCCACGATCAAGGTGGCGAGTTTGAGCTGGCCTTCACCTCGCTTTTGGAGGACATGGCGGTGCCAACTACGGTGACAGGATCACATGCACCTTGGCAGCTTTCGGTGGGAGAAAGACATGGAGCTATCTTGGGCACCATGATCTCAGCTATCACTGCAGAACACTCCACTGAAGGATTTACAGCCATGAAACTGGTGGTGTCATCCGCTGTCGCAGCCAAGAATATGACAGTGACTCGGGACGGATTCACTCCCAATCAACGATTGTTTGGAGCTGAAATCAAATTCCCCAGTTTGACAGAAGACAACGCCAGGCCAAGCTTTGCAGAAGCATTGGACTCTGAATCAGAGTATGCACGCGCTCACAGAATGCGCATCACGGCCAGGCTGGCTTTGATCCGTACGGACGTCCAAGACAAGATGCGCCGTGCGATTCTGAGGAAGCCAGTGCATGAAAATGATGGCCCATTCATGCCGGGAGCACAGATTTACTTCTGGACACCAAAGAAACTTTCAAAAAGGTATACCCGAGGTGGCCAGTGGCGTGGACCTGCTACAATCCTTGTGCGTGAGGCCAAGGAGAGATACTTTGTCAGCTGGCGAGGCCGCGCCCTCCTGTTGGCTGCGCCCAACATCCGACTGGCTACTCGTGAAGAGTTAGCTCTCAACAAGCCAGCCAAGGAAGATGCCGACAGTTTGGGTGAACTACTTCGGGACCCCATCCGGGAGAAGACCTACAAGGACCAATCACGACTGGCACCTCCGCCGAGGACGAGAAAACGTCCAGCGACCGCGGATACGCCAGAGAGGAAAAGAGCAAGGACGATGTTAAGAGGCACCAAGTCAATTCGACAGCTCCTGAAGGATCGCTACGCTGATCTTCGAGCACAGCTCAGGAAGAGAAAGGTGCCCAAAGGTATTGAGGACAAGCCGGCAGCGCCGCGCCCTGCAAAAAGGCCAAAGGCCTTAGAAGATGGACAAGTGCCCCCAGAGGAGATCCCTGAACTACCTCAACCACCGGCACTACCAGGACCTGGAGGAGGCGAAGAGTCTGATGGCTACAGCGCCACATCACCTTATGATGAGCATGAAGGGCCTCCCCAAATGTCAACCGATGAGGAGCCACCTCACATTCCTACAGATGATGAAGGACTGGATGAGCCATCCAGAGCTGAGGCAGAGCCTCCAACGGAGGTACCACCGCATGAGGTACCTGTCCCGCCGGACAATGAGGACGAATGGTTAGAGGAGTTCAGGAAACTGTCCGAGGAAGATCGACGCAAGATGTCTCTTGACGACGTTCCTCACACCCTCAAGAGGAAACAGCAGCTTATGGACCCTGCTCGGGCGGATGCTGCCGTCAAGAAGCTGCGTGCGAACTTCTGCGCACAGGTGGCAGCGACCACAGTGTATGTGAGCCTTCAAAATGAATGGGTGTCGAGATACGAGGTGGAACTTCTTAAGCAACTGACAGGCTTGCCAGTTACGGCGGCCAGAATCCACCGGACACCCAGGAAGCGTTTCCAAAAGCCTCCAAAGATGGTTAGTCGCTCACGACTTTCCATTTTAATTGGCAAAGATCCTGCCAACACCTTCATTGTCAACGAGGACGAGGAGGACGTGAAGCAGAACCCTCGCCGTCGTGCCAGCTTTCTTTGGAAAGGCATGACGATTTTCTACAAGACTGCCAAGGAGACCGACACCGAGCCGGTATACATCCAGCTTCCAGATGGATTGTACCGTGCGGATCTGACTGCCCAAGCCGCCCAAGATTTCGAAGCTTTGTGGACGGAAGAAGTTCGAGATTTGCTCACCACTGAAGCGCTGCTATTGAAGATGAAGCAGGGTGGCAAGGAGTTGGACCCTGCCTTCTTTGATCAGAAGGAAAGAGCAGCATTTGATACGGCTGATGTCAAGGAGTGGTCTGAATGGATCAAAAACGGAGTGATTGAGAGGGTCAGCCCTGAGGAAGCGGCCCGAGTTCCCAAAGCATCCATTTTCAGAGCACCACTTCATATGCTCAGGGTCAACAAACAGACCAATCAGCTCTTGCCGTTGGTGGCAAAATCCCGACTTATTGTGCCAGGTCATTTAGACCCCCAGCTTGGTGAATTCCGGACAGATTCGCCAACCTGCCCTCAAGCAGCTGTCTGTGCAGCCAAGAGCGTGGCAGCAGCCCGTGGATGGGGTGGCACAATTTTTGATGTCACAACAGCTTTCCTCAGCGGAAAGAAGTTGCAACGACAGGTTTACATTCGAGCCCCCAGAGAAGGTTTGCCTCCAGCTGAGAATTGGTCAGCTGTGGAACCTGGAGAGCTCTTGCGCATCCTCAAGAGCGCATATGGACTGACAGAGAGTCCCAGGTTGTGGTACCTGGAAGCCCTTGACAGGATCAAAAAGACTGATCTCCAGGAGCTCGAGATGTCGCGATCTACCTTCGTTGCAGGTGGTGGAAGCAGTGGCAGCGCCACATATGCTATCCTATGTCTCCACGTGGATGACGGACTGCTTCTCGGTGATTTACAGGACAAGCGTGTCCAGAATCTCAAGCGGCAGATTGATGGTATGTTCAAGATCAAAGCCTGGAAGACCCTATCTGCCAAAGAACCAGTTCAATTCTTGGGCGTGGACGTAACTTTGGATTCAAATGGTATCCACGACGACATGACGCAGTACATCAAGCAGATCAAGGTGGAACCTTTGAGTGGCTCTGGACCACTTAATCCAAGGGAGTTGACGCTCTATCGTCAGCTCGTCATGCGCCTTCGGTGGCCGGCCCAACAGGCCATGCCACACTTGCTGTATGAGGTTTCGGCCCTAGCACAACGTGTGAGCCGCGCTCAACACAGTGACTACAAGGAAGCTGTCAAGCTTCATCAAAAGTTTGTGGAGGAAGCTTCCCAGGGCCGCGCCCAATTGACCTATCCAAAGCTGAACGAGAAGGAGAAGCTATTCTACATCAGCTTCTTTGATGCCTCGGTTGGAAAAGAAGAAGACGGAAAATCTCAGCTTGGGTCAATTCACTTTCTCACAACAGAGAAAGCACGGTCAGGACCAGCATTGGCATCGGTGGTGGAATTCTCCACCAATAAAAGTTCTCGAGTTCTGAGGAGTTCAATGTCTGCTGAAAGCTGTAGCATGTCCATCTGTGTGGACCGTCACTTGTACGGCCGCTTGGTTTTGGATCGTTTGCTCTACGGCAACAGACCCTTGGATGAGGATTGGCGATTGTCAATGGGTCTTGATGGAGGCGTCGTAACTGATGCCAAGAGCCTCTATGACCATTTGAATACAACAGGTCAGCTCCCCACGGAGCGTCAGACCATGCTGGACTTGCTTGTTGCACGACATCACTTGGAAGCTGGAGCGTATATGTTGTTTTGGGTCCCTACTCATCGACAGCACGCCGACGGCCTAACCAAGAAGATGGTCAACCTGTTGTGGCAGGCATTCTGCCGAAAGCCTATGGTGTCCCTACGTGAGACTCCAGAGGAGAAAACGTTAGAGGATCACCGGCGCAAACTGCGCCAGGGGCAGCGACAGCGTCGCAAAGAAAAGCTGAAGGGCCGCGTCCCAGCACTGGCATCGGCTGCGCCGTGCCATAATTTGCGCAACACACCAACACGTTTCCCTTCCGATGTGAAAGACAAAGGTAGGTAGAGACTAGCTTGGTGTGTAGCAGTTGCATGTTTCTTTTGCACTTGCGCATACTCACCGCAGACTGGACCAGTCAAGCTTAGCGCTAAAAGATTGCCCCGCTGCTTTTGCTTTTTCGTGTGAGCCCATTAGCTGCCTTTGCACTCCGCAGTTGGGTGACTCCTCAGAGGAACAGTTCCAGGCAATGGGTTGTAACATGTTGTGATCAGGCGGAAGGCAATGGTGGGAAAGCAACAGCCCTGAACCTTATGGTCGAGATTTCTCGCGCGACCGCCAGTCCCTGGACTGCAAGTTGCAGATTGGAACGAATCCAAAACGATAAAAACGCTGTGGTTTCTGGGCATGTCACTGTTCAAGAAGTCATGTAAGTCATGTTAGAGTTGCCTTGAATCCAATCTACCGAGTGCAAACATCAGTGATTGCATGTTGGATAAGGATCAGGACGCCCAGACCGGAGCAGGGTATCTACACAGATTCCAAGGCGGGATGATCGGGTGTGCTGCTTGCCTGTGCCCATCCACCTGCCACTAGGAGCAGAAGGCACAGATGGAGGCACCTGCCACTAGGGTGCGAGAACATGCGAGAACGCTCGGAAGGGGCTGATGCTCAGGATTGAAATTTTGAAGTCGTTTTCAGCTGCACAACTTCGGCCTAGCTTCAGCCTAATTGCATTTGCTGGAGAGCAAACTGGTACTGCAAACATGTGCTTGAGAACCTTCTGTCATCTTCTGTCAATTTTCAAATGTATAGGTCATATTCCCATATCATATCATGTCATATCATATCATATCATATCATATCACATCACATCATATCATATCATATCATATCATATCATCATAATATCGTATCATATCATATCATATCATATCATCATATCGTATCGTATTGTATCGTATCGTATCGTATCATATCATATAATTATACAAACATACATATATATATATATACAATCACATACACACGTATAATTTCATATAATCATATATTGACATGTATAATATTGCATAATACACATGTACATCATATACATATTACATAATTCATCTTATTTCATGATCTTTTTACTCCTGGAGCCATTGGAGGTGACCTTTGGTGCTCCAGCTGCACGGCCCGTGCGGCCGGCGCAAGCTGAAAGCTATGGCCAGGCGCACAAACACAAACTCGTCATACAGATAAATATGGAGGATTTCTTGTGTGATAAATAGAGAAATGACGTCCATAATGCCCAAAAACAAAGAAATAAGATGAAATAAGATTAGAATAAAGAGAGATCAATAGTAACTGATGCCTTGCTAGTAATATCATACCAACATGCAGCTCTTGCAGGGTGACCGCCCTGGTCCCTCCACTCCTCGTGCTGAGTCCGGAGCTCAAGATGGACTCCAATTTGTTCATGGTTTCTGAGATTTTCTGAGATATTTTACAGTCACCCAGCACCATACATCCGTGGGCCAGGGGTCTTCGATGAATCATGATGCACACCCCAAGACTTGAGGCTGCGGATGCAACAGATACCCAGGCAGCAAGCAGACGTCTCGCGGCAAACGTCTTGGAAGGTGTGCCCTCATCCATCCTGATCCACGGTCCGAATGGTGCTGAATACTGGTGCTTTCAGTCTTGTTTTGTGAATCTTCAGAGAACTTGACTGCTTTGTCATCATCCTTTTTCATCCTTACCTGGGATGATAGATGATGATTGAACCAACCACCAAGCGGTCGGGGAAATGTTCCAGGACGTCGCTTCCTCGACCTCAAGGGCGGAGTGCAGAGCCCAGCCTGTTTGAGAGCCAGACAGCAGCCCTGGCAGACCTTCTTTTTGCATCTTTTTTTGCCACCAAGGATGGGGCCTCCACGCCAACAAGTTGATGTGTCCCCAACATCTCCACAGGTGGCTTTGGCTTAGACATGCTTAGACATATCATGACATATCTCATCAATGTGGGCATTAATTGTGGTGTCTTTTTTCTGGGGGGTACATATCAATACATATCATGCATCCTTTTCATATTTCATTCATATTTCAAATGTTCAAAAAGGAACAAGTTTTTTCGACAAGTTGCATTTTCTGCTGAAACCTTCCTGGACCTGGGCGTCCAAGCTCCGCAGGATCTCATGGGTGCGGCTGGACCCTGGAGTCTCGAACCGCATGGACGGAGTCCCACGGAACCACAGAGGCATCCTGTCACTAAGTGGCTGAGAACGGTGGTAGCCATGGCAAGGAAAAAATATGGAAAACATATGGGAACATGGAAACCCAACCACTAGAATCCGGATCTGAGATGATCTGAGATCATTTGGTTTCGTTGTGATATTTTGTCATCATTCCTGCACTCATCTCCGTCAGGTGCAACGCCTGGTGGGTGGATCTTCAAGGTTCTTCCCTGCCGGCATCACCTGGCACGGCGAGTGCGCCTGGGCCAAGCATGGCAGGAGCTTCTCCAAGCGTCACTGAGCCCATCGAAAGGAGCTGGGTAGGGGTCAAAGTGTCAGACCGGGGACCATACCCACAGATTGGATGGGATTTTCATCGAAATACAATTGAATTTTGGGATATTTTTGGATTTCTATGAAATCCATAAGAGGCAAAAAAGTAGGTCGGCCATGGTCTGGGTCTGTGCGGTTGGACGGTGCCAAGTCTTCTCCATGCAGGAGTTTGGCGTCTTCACAACAGCTACCACAATTTCCATCACAGCCATTATCCGAAAGCTATTCATGGTGACTTGGCATTGCTGGAACTTGGGGTGACCAAGGAATGTATACGCTTGTAGTTGCTTGGGACACTTGGTGCAACACTGGGTGAAACAAGCATTTTCCCGTTGTGTCCGGGGGACTCTGTTCCAAATGCAAGGATGCGTTTGCCTGTTGCCATCATCACGAGCCCAAAATGAGGTCAGCCAGTCCAGCCAGTGCAGACAGACCGGCTGCTTGGCAGGCCGCCAGAAATTCAATAGAGAGAATACAATAGTTTTTCGTTTTCCCTCCTTCAGGTTGCATTTACCTTGTCTTGAATGCAAACATTCATGCCAGCTACGACGGAGATTGATTGACCTGTCCTCAGGAAAAAACAATATCCATTTGCTCCTCTCAGAACATCTCAGAACTCCCAACACTCTTGGAACTGCTGCAGCCGGCACTAACATCCTTCTCTCCTCCTCCTAATCATCCTGGTTGTCATCGTGTAACAGTTTGGCGTCATTATGTGTCGTTTGTTCTTGGTTTCAGCATGCAGGCCCCCATTTGGCAAACGTAGGACTAATAAATACTAACAAGATAGTAGTGCGAACAGAGCGTGACAGACATGGTTCCCAATTCTGTCACCAGCATGAGGACCAAAGACTAAAAAATGGAACTTGACAAAAAACGAGGGAGAGGTAGATAGAGAGAGGACAAACATGATGGTTTTTACTAGTGATTCAGTATACTTTCGACCACTCTGAATCACTTTCAAGCACTTTATCATTTTAGGCCTCCAGGCCTCAAGGTTCAATTTCTCATAGCCAGGATGGTCCCCGTCTTGGCGATCACTTTGCGGAGCGTTTGGGCTTGGATGTGCACGGCTTGCCACTATCAGCACCTTGGATGCACTGGGCAGGGCGTGGTGAGAGACAATCACTCAATGGAAGACATGGAAACGGACAGGATGAGCTGGAGAGAGAAAGGAAGGAACAGCGCTTTTTTCACACATAGTAATTATCATGATATCATGTATTGATTGCATGAATGTAACATAAATATACATAACTCACATAACTATGATGTACTTAAGATGGCCAGGTAGGGAGAGATGCCAGACCTTGCTCCCTCAGCGGCACCAAGGGAACTCCAATGGCAACTCCAGCAGAAGTGTGGCAGCACCTTGTCCTATTGGTGGAGATTAATGGATATAACAATGGATAGCGATGGACAATTGGATATCATATCCCCAATCTATCCTCAGAATGTTGTGATGATTGGCGATGATTGTTGGTTCATGTTGTTTCAACTCTCACGTTCTTAACGGCGTCAGCCATGAGGCAGCGTGTGCGCCTGGCAGATCATCAGCTCTTATCCTTGCGGCAGGTTCGTTCTCAGTCTCCTGGCGTTCAGACTTCTTGGGAGCTGATGCTGGGATTTAGAGATTTTAGCGGCCTTGGCATACACCATGATCCACATAATTATATTATGTAATTCTTATGTTATCTTTAGGGACAATCAAGACTGTGAAGCACCATTTTACCTCAACAACATCTCTTAGATCTGATTACTCAACAAATCCCAGCCAATTTGAGATATACGACATTTCAACATCGACATATTGCGAATATATTAAACATTATTAAACCATTCATTGTAAACCACCCTCAAACTAACGATATTTTTTTTCGAAATCATGGGACATGTATAAAGTGTATATGGTATATATATTATATATACATATTATATATTTGATATATATAATATATAATATATAAATGCATATATGTGAGTTTCGTAACTTGCTGCTGCCGCATACACCTTCGATTGTTTCCTGTCAGGGGAAAGCACATTCATTATGTGCCTTTTGACTCGTGGCTCAAGGCCAATTTCAGCGAGATAGGGGAAAAATCTCGAGTGCCGCCATAGGATTGGTTGGAAGGTGAAGAGTGGACTCTTTTGGGATTTGGTTGGATAGATATACATTTTTGGTGTTGTGGACAACACTGTTGGAACGACTTTACTTTGGTTGAACATCAACTACTTTCTGGTGATCAAGGAGGACCTTGAACCATTCAGGTGGGAACTGTTATCAGTGGAGTTGTGATCTACGATCCAACGACACTGGTAGCGGAGCCTAGAGGCTCGTGCTACTTGCACGCAAAGCCGGCCCGCTAGTTTTGTGGCTTCTGGATAGTGAGCAATGCCTCCTAAAGAGTCTGCCTCAACCGATGGGAACGGTGACTCCCAGCAGGGTTCCAATTTTTGGAATTTGCTGCCCAGTTTTGACCCGAGTGAAGATGACATACGAGAGTTTTCACAGAAAGCCAGGTTCATCCACGGTGTCATGCCCGAGAAGGACAAGCCCAACTGAGCTCCCAGGTTAGCTATGTTGTGTAAAGGGACAGCTTGGTCCCAGGTGCGTCAGTTAGATCCGAAGAAGCTCACCAAGGCCGACTCAGGTGTTGAATACTTGTTGGCCGCTTTGTCAGCTTGGGAAGAAACATCAGAGATGAAAACGTATGAACTGTTTGAACGAGCACTCTACAAGGTAGTACAGAAGTCTGATGAGGCCTCCCATAGTTTCTCACTTCGCCTTCAAGCTGCATTCAATGAGATAGGTGATGATGCCACTGTCAAACAAATGCAAGCCTTCGTGATGTTGAGACAGTCAGGTTTGTCGTCCGAAGACAAAAAGAAAATCCTGACGATGACAGTTGGTAAGCTGGATCTGACCGCAGCCGCAGTTGACCAAGCCATGAGGTCGTTGTCCACACGTGTGTTGATGGGTCCTGGTGAAGCCAAGAAAAAGATTTACCCGATCAATTTCTCAGAGGTGGAAGAGCCACCTACCCAATCCGATGAAAGCCTTCCGGTTCAAAGCACTTACGTTGCATACCATGAGGAAGAGGATGTTTTGACAACCGAGCATCTGGAATACCTAGTGTCTCAGGGAGATGAGGATGCCAACGTAGTGCAACAGTTTGAGCGTGATTTCGAAGAGATGCTGCAAGAAATTCCTGACATGCAACAAGCAATGGTCTCATACAATGAGGCTAGGCAGAGGATCAATGATCGCCGTCGCAGCCGAGGGTTTTGGCCCACTGGAAAAGGAAAAGGGAAAGGTGGGTTCAAAGATGGCTCCCGGCCATACCGCAAAGGTGTTGGAAAGTCTGGAAAAGAAGAGTTGTTGGCTCGCATTGCAAAAACGCATTGCAAGCTCTGCGGCGCCCTTGGTCATTGGCGCGCAGAATGCCCTCAGAGGAAAGAAGCCCGTGAAACTGCCAACGTTGCCTTCTCCATGCCTTCCGAAGCATCCGATGCCGAAAGTGCACCCGTTGTGAAACATGTTTCGTTGCCTCATGCTACCGAAAACCAGTTTTCTGCGAGCAAAATGTTGAAGACGTGAAAGCCTTTTGGGGTAAGAAACTGAATAAGCCGGGTTATAAGCGGGGTAATAAAGGGGTAATTGGGGATAAAGGGGTAGCCAAAAAAACAGTGGTCCAGAAAACAGCCTGAACCCAGCAGTGGTGACCTCAGCACCCAACACCCGTGCCGTCAGGAAGATGCATCCGAGACCAACCAATAGAGCCGATGGTTTTGTCAGCCAGAATCACTCAGATGCCATGCAAAGTCAAGGAATGGCCATACTGGACACAGGTGCCAGTCGCAGTGTGATCGGACAAGACCATGTCCCCGCGATGCTCCAAAAACTGCCAGCCAGTGTCCGTGACCAAGTCGTGGAGAAACCCAGCAGAGTAGGTTTCCGTTTTGGAAATAACCAAGTTGCATATAGCTACAAGCAGTTACGCATACCATTGGTCCACAAGGGAATCGGAATTTGGTTGCTAATTGAAGTAGTGCCGAAAGCCACACCTTTCCTGCTGTCAATTAAGACCATGAAGAGTTTAGGAGCTATGATAGACCTAGGGCAAAACACATGTTTTCTCAAGACGTTGCAAAGGTCATTGTATTGGAAAGAAAACAAGAATGGGTTGTTCATGATTGACATGTCCGATCTTTGTCAACCTGATGTCAAGTCCAATGCAGCAGCTTTTGTCGCATCAAGTGTCTGTGCCCCGCCTCCAGGTCTGGAAAGTGAAATTCCTGCCAGTCAGGCCGACCCGTCAGGAAGTGCTCGATGCTCTTCGCACAGTGGCAGAGGAAGTGTTAGCCAGTCTGAAGCTCCTGATGACCATCGTGTTCACCATGACCAGTGCGATCGATCCGAACCAAGAAGCCACGGAGCTCCAGATGAACCCTGTGAATCAGTTGATTCACGAAGTGGCCCAGCAACGTCGGACGATCGACCAGTTGGGGAATCTGATTCAAGCTCAGTTCCAACAGAAGCCACCCACATGTCCAGGACCTATAGTGAGCCCTGTGAACCACGTTCCAGGATCAGAAGATTTCGAATGGGAAGCCGAGATGGTGCCGTCACAAGGCCAAGCGGCATCAACGGTGCCAAATTCTTCCCAATCGATGCCTGCTGTGATGATGAATGTCAGAGCTCCCAACAATCAGCCTCCTCCAATGCCAGTGAGACAGCCCATGCCGCACGTGTCAATGACACCAAGTGCCCGACCGCCAGCTGCAATGATGGGAAGCCCAGGATCGTCTTACGCAGCTTCCGAGATTGGAAGCCAATTGATGGTGACTCAAGCATCCCTCGAAAGCTGGGGAAACAAGATCGTGGGCTTTGGCAAAAAGCACCTGAGGTCTCGTTACGCCCATGTGTACGAGTCCGACCCAGGTTACATCAAGTGGATCTTGGCCAGAGCCGACAACCTTTCCGAGGATGTGGCGGATTTCGCAAGCTATGCCCGAGCTCGCAATCAACTGGAGCAATTGGCCAACAACCCGGTTCCATGAGAGGCATTTGGGAGGGATTTCAAGATTCTAGGATGTCACATAAATCTAGTTTTAAAGAAAGACAATTGTGGACTGAGATGCAACAGTCAGAATGTGGAAAGAGCTTTCACAAGTCAGAACAGTTGGACATCCTAGAAGTGTATGCGTTCCCTAACAGCATGTTGACCACTGTGGCACAAGAACATGGTTTGCGAGCAAGGAGGTTTACATATGAAGATGGGGATTTATCGACATCTACTGGAAGAAGAGCTTTGTTTCACATCATCAAGACACAGAGACCAAAACATATTTGGCTTGCCCCGGAATGTGGTCCTTGGTGTGCCTGGAACCGCTTTAATTCCATGCGAAGCCTTTCTGGTTATGAACAAGTCATGCACCAACAGCGTCTTGCCAAAGAACACTTGGTATTGTGTAATGTGGTAGCTCAGATTCAGCATGATGAGGGTCGACACACCCATCTCGAAAGCCCCAAAACCTCCGGCGTTTGGAAGCAGCAGGAGATACAGCCGTTTTTGAAGCGTTCCATTCCGGCCCAGCTGGACCAATGTGCTTTTGGCCTGAGACATCCAAGTGAAAATCAGTTGATGAGAAAATCCACTCGCATACAAACCACCTCAGTTGAAATGTTTTCTGTTTTGGACTGCCGTGTTTGCAATCGTGAACATAGTCATAGTACCATAGCAGGAAGATGTCAGTGGAAGGGCCATAGCATTTCCGTGTCCAGGTTTGCTGCTTTCTATCCACGCAAGCTTGCGCTGACCATTGTCCGTGGAATCATGCAAACATCCCAAGGCCCCTATGAGGCGCCAATTTGCCATGTAGATGAAATAGAGCCGCCTGCCAAAAGGGCACGTACCAACTCTGGTGAAGCCTCTGCACCACACGACACCACGAACGTGTGGAAACCAATGTTTGAATTTCTACAGAGAAAACTTCCCAAATCAGGTGTTGTCACTTGGGAAGACCCGCAAGATGAAGTCTTCCAGGAAATTCAGAAACTGTTTCCACATGAGAACATTGGTGCAGTCAAAGCAGGAAAAGGCCTAGATCGTCTTTTGTTGGGCGAAGAGGCTTGGAGAGATCAGCTGCCGAAAAGACATAGCATAGTACAGAAAAGATTCACTCATGAAATAATTGACCTAGGACTTGAAGTTTGGAGTGAATTAACTCGGAAAAGGGCTTGTCGAAAAGAGGTGCCAAGCCATATCATGTTGTGTTTGTTTTCCAGAGATGACAGCCGACCTGATACACCTATAATGCCAGCAGCCGATCCCGCCAATGGATCAATTGAGACAAAAGCCGCTGAATCAACAGCCAGTCCACCAGTGCAGGTAGATGTGCCCAGCTGGACT